GCTTTTTTCTTTTTGCTTATGTGGTGCTGAGGAATCGAACCCAGGGCCTCATGCATGCAAGGCAAATGCTCTACCACTGAGCCACCTTCCCAGCCCTTAAAGTTGTTACAGTTTAATATTACATTACCTTAATGAATCTTCAAAACCTAGATATGTATAGATCTGTTCCTATAGAAGATGCTGATTATGTATTAAAAATGGTGACACAGCCAAGTGCCAGTGGCTCACCCCTTGGATCCTAGTTACTCAGGGGTCTGAGATCCAGAGATGATCAAGGTTTGAAGCCAGCTTGGGCAGAAAAGTCTGTAAAGCTCCATCTCCAAAATCAGCAACAAAAATCCCTGATGGTTATATGGCTCAAGTGATAGAATCCCACTAAAGCTAGGGCTAGGCAATGAGTTCAAATATTTTGGTGGCATGTATTTCATCAACAGTTTGACTATAGATATATGGGATTGTTTTGGAGTAATGGTCATAGAGAGATGATCCAAACACCCTTTAGCATTTAATATCCTTTAGCGTTTAATATAATGAAATTAGAATGTATGTAATTTGCGGCGGTGTCATAGAGAAAAGCTTACTGCTTGGATGGACGTTCAAGTTAAACTTGTATCACACTGGGGTCATCTTTGATCAAGAATGTTTTCATCTTTGCAACTTTATGATACTGATTTTTACATTTTCTATATAATTATCCTGGCAAACTCACAGCTAGTAAATTCACACATCTAAATGTGAAAAACATCAGGATTTATTTGCAGGCTTTTTCAATATTTTTCAATGTTTTCTAACTTTTTCAGTATTTCTTATCAATCATATGCCCAAAATGAAGCCATGTTGTTATATTGTTTTTTGATAAGTTTTCCAAAATTACCAGAGACATTAGGATTTTTAAATCTTCTGAGGCCAGGTGCCAGTGGCTCATGCCTATAATCCTAGCTACTCAGGAAGCTGAGATCTGAAGATTTGATTCAAAGCCAGCCAGGTAGAAGTCCCCGTGAGCCTCTTTTTTTTTTTTTTTTTTTTATTGTGAGAATACCGTACAGAGGAGTTACAATTACATGGGCAAGATAACAAGTACATTTCTTATCAAGCATTGTTGCCTCCTCTTTGTTTCCCCTTCCTATCCCTTCCCATATACCTCCCTCCCCCACCCAAACCTCCCCCCACCTCCCACCAAAGTTGTAAAGCTTGTTTTTCCACATAACGACTTGTACATCTCATTGTTTCAGTGGGTCCACCTGTATCCCTAGTTAAACAATTTGTTTTTTCCCTTCCCTTCCACAAATTATACCAACATCAGTTACAGTGAAAGCATGGGTTATATCGTGGGGGAGGGACATACAAAGCAACAAAGAAATCATCTTATAAATATGTTAGGAACAATTGCATGAAAGGAAAAAAAAACAAAAACATTTGAATATTTATCTTGTGGTATATATACACAATGGAATTCTATGCCTCCATCAGAAAGAATGACATTGCCTCATTTGTTAGGAAATGGAAAGACTTGGAAAAATTATATTAAGTGAAGTAAGTCAGGCCCAAAGAAACATAGGTCCCATGGTTTCCCTTATTTGCAATAACTAGTATATGTCGGAGTCAAGTAGAAAAGGTCAGATAAGTTGGTGTTAGGGGAATGAACCCGTGAGACTCATATCCTATTAACCACTCAAAAGCCAGAGGTGGTACTATGGCTCAAGTTGTAGATCGCTAACCCTGAGCACAAAGAGGCTTAGGAACAGTACCCAGACCCTGAGTTCAGGCCCCACAACTGACAAAAAAATAAAAAGTCTTTGAATGGTAGCATTTATAGGAACAAAATGAGAAATGGGAGAGTGAAATGATTTTCACAGTTGCATATATTCTTGCTGATACAGTCCACTGTGGAATTGCATGTTACTGCTTTATGCTTGAAATTCAGCCTTTCATACCTGCTTTTGAGGTACTTCCTAAATCCATTTTCTGCATTTAGGTATTTAAAACATAAACTAATTATGCCAGGTCTTTGCTTTCATTTTATTTTTGTTACATTTTCGAATCTTTTCAGATTTTCTCATTTGAAGCTCAAAGATTATTTGAATATTAGTGTCTTTTCCTACTTCATCTATATTACTCATTTTGAGCTTATTTATTTCTTTTGTTGTTGTTTTTGTTCTTTTTTTTTTAATTGTGAAAATACCCTACAGAGGGGTTACAATTACATGGGCAAGTTATCTTCAGCAGTGCTTGAGCTTTTTTAAAATCAAACCCCAAACAACTTTTTTTTCTTTTTGATCTTGGGGCTTGAACTCTCTGCCTGGGCGCTGTCCCTCAGCTCTCCAGCTCAAGGCTAGCACTCTACCACTTTAGCCACAGCACCACTTCCAGTTTTCTGAGTGGTTTATTGGAGATAAGAGTCTCATGGATTTTCGATTTTCCTGCCGGGCTTCTTTGAACTACAGTGTCATTTCTGGCTTTTTTCTGCTTATGTGGTGCTGAGAAATCAAACCCAGGGCCTCATGCATGAGAGGCAAGCACTCTTACCACTGAGCCACCTTCCCAGCCCTTTTTTGTTTGTTTTTGTTTTTTTTTTTACCATTTCCATTCTGTGGCTGGTTACAGACTGTGGCTCCTGATTTCTTTTTGTTGTTGTTGTTGGTCAGGGGGCTTGAATGCTGGGCCTGGGCTCTGTCCCTCAGCTCTTTAGCTCAAGGTGAGCGCTCTACCACTTGAGCCACAAAACAATTTCTGGTTTTTTGGTGGTTTATTGGAGACAGTTCCAGTCCAGGCTGACTTTGAACCACGATCCTCAGATCTCAGCCTCCTGAGTAGCTAGGATTATAGATGTGAGCCACCAGCATCCGGCTGTGTTATTTCTTAATTTTCTCTAGAGCAGATATATTTCAAATTATGTTCCTCAGTGTCATGATAAAATTTAAATATTTAATGTTGCTACATTAGGAATGCAGTTTTAAATTGATTTATATTTTTAGAAATTGATTTATATTCTATAAAAAGCATTTTTAAGTTGATATGACGATGAATTGTTAAACTTTAGTTTATATAGTGATTTGTGTTTTATAACTAAGAAGTAACCAAGTGTTCACTCCTATTTATAGATTATACTTACGTCTATGAAAGGAAACACTGTAGACTAGCATTTTTTTTTTTTTTTTTTGGGTCTGGTAGTGGATCTGAACTCGGGGCCTGGGCGCTGTCCCTCAGCTCTTCAGCTCAAGGCTAGCGCTCTACCACCTGAGCCACAGCACCACTTCCAGCTTTTTCTTTTTGCTTACGTGGTGCTGGGGAATCGAACCCAGGGCCCCAAGCATGCAAGGCAAGTGCTCTACCACTGAGCCACCTTCCCAGCCTAGACTAGCATTTTTGTAGTTGGTTCTTTGGAGATATTGAAGTTTGAACTTGGCATTTTGTCTGTTACACAGGCATTCTGTCACTTAGTCATGTCCGTAGCACTTTTATATATAACTTAAAATTTTCTAAAACTTTATAGTGTACATGGATTAACATGCTTTCTTCTTTTTTAGACAATATGTGCACTTATTTGTGGATGTCCAATTGTGAAGCCAGAATATTTTACTGAATTTATCAAAGCAATTCAGTCCAAGAAACAGCCTCCACAAATTGAAAGGTATGTTTCAAATATGATGTAACAAGAGAAGACATATAGAATCAGTAGCATTGGTTTTACTTAGATTGCTCTTTTTTTTTTTATTTTATTGCCAGTCCTGGGCCCTGAACTCTGTTCATTCTAGTTCATCATGGTTAATGGCAGATTTTGTTAACATGTAAAGAAAAGATTTCCCAAATTCCTTGTTGTTGCATATTTCTTTTTTCTTTTTCTTTTTTTTTTTTGGTTGGTCATGAGGCTTGAACTCTGGTCCTGGGCACTGTCCCTCAGCTCTTCAGCTCAAGGCGAGTACTGTACCACTTCAGCCACAGCACCACTTCTGGTTTTCTGATGGTTTATTGGAGATAAAAAGAGTCTCACAGACTTTCCTTCCCAAGCTGACTTTGAACCACAATCTTCAGATCTCAGCCTCCTTGGTAGCTAGTATTACAGGCCTGAACCACTGACACCCAGCTGTTGAGTATTTCTTATTCACATGAAACAAATGTTAAATAGTTGCTGATATTTAATGTAAGACCTTGAAGGACAAAAAAAATGGCCTTAATGGTCATATTAACACATCTTGCAACTGCCATATCTCATTCAGGAGTAACCCCTAAAATTGTTTAATAGGTCAACCCTTCGAAGCCAGGGCTCACCTATTACAGTTGTAGCTTAGGGTATAGAGCTTGTTTCTTCTAAGCTTCAGTTACCTCATTTCAAAAATGCAGCTAAGTTAGGTGTTGTAGATACACCTATAATCTCAGCAGTTGGGAAGCTAAGGTAGAAAAATCTGGAGTTCAAGGCCAGCTTGGGCTATGGAAGACTGCCTTTAGGAAAATGGCTAATGTACTCATTATCTGACTTAGGTAACTAACCCCTCTCTATATCACCTTTATAATAGCAGTTAAAAAATTGCAAAAATAAAACCCACAACAAGACTAATAACTGTCACAGTATATAAGATAATTCATAATAGCTTTATTTTATATTTTTTAATTTGTCTAATTTAGAAGCTCTACATTTATATTCTGTTGGTAAGAGTTTGCAGCAGTATAAAGTAGTTGAAAAAGAAGATAGTTGACTTCTTTTTTCAAATTGTCTGGTAAATTCTGAGGAGCTTGGTGATTATTTTTCATTAACTTAATTACAAAGGAACTTCCTTAAATACATGGCAGTGGAAAAAGAAAAAGAGACAGGATGGTGGAAAGGAGTGAGGGAGGGCAGTGCCAGGCACTAGTGGCTCATGCCTGTAATCCTAGTTACTCAGAAGACAGGATCGTGTTTTGAAGCCAGTACAGATAGGAAAGTCCATGAGACTCTTACTCTCCAAATAACAAAAAGTCAGAAGTAAAACTGTGGTTTGAGTAGTAGAGTACAGAGCACAGGCTCCAAGTTCAAGCCTCAGGAATAGCACAAAATTTTTAAAAAAAGAAAAAAAAAGCATGGCAGTGGATTATATTTTATATGGTACCATATCTGGCTTGTATTTGTAGGAGATTGAAAAATGTTTTACAAGTGAGGACTTTTTTTTTTTTGGTTAGTCATGGGGCTTGAACTCTGGGCATGGGCCCTGTTCCTGTGCTGTTCAGCTCAAGGCGAGTGCTCTACCGCTTGTGCCACAGCACCACCTCCGGTTTTCTAGTGGTTTATTGGAGATACGAGTCTCATGGACTTTCGTGCCCGGGCTGGCTTTGAACCGAGATCCTCAGATCTCAGCCTCCTGAGTAGCTAGGATTACAGGAGTGAGCCGCCAGCACCCGGCACAAGTAAGGATTTTATTATTGACTTTAATCTCTTGTTAACAGACAGAAGCCATTGTGCTCAGCATACCAATTTTGTTCTAGGAACTATTTTATAATAGATGTTTGCTTTTAATATTAGCCAAAAAGTAGATTTTTCTCTTTCTTTGTAACTTTTACCTAGAAGCTTTCTGGGGTTCATTAATGTAGTGAACAGATAATGGGATATTGCTGGACTCTGATAAAATATTCTCAGATTTTGAAACAAAGTCCTAGAACCTTATAAGATTAGGAAGGCACTGGTATCTCCCCAGGAAACATCACTTAAATACTACGGAAATACTTAGTATTTCAAACATAATCATTCTTCCCAAAGCCTATTCATCAACCTCACTGGGTATCAGTAAATCCAGTAAATAATGATCTTGGCTACAGATAATGAGGATCTAAGTTTCCAGCTACTGGTGATATGTTTTGTAGTCTTGCAGTTTTTTTAATTAGCTACTGATTCCTCCTGTTATTCAGGTTTTCAGGTCTGTTTAACTTAAACCAACTTCTGATTTCTGACTACTAACATACATGACTGCCTGTAGCTTATGCCTGTAATTTTAGTTATGCAGGAGACTGAGATCTAGGTGATCATAGTTAAAGTCCAGCTCATGCAGAAAAATCCACGAGACTCCGGCTTGAAAATGACCAGGAAAAATCAAGACTGGAGATACGGCTCACATGCTAGAGCACCAATTGAACAAGTAAACTAAGGAAGAACATGAGCCCCTAAATTCATACACCATTACTGCCAAAAATACATGGCTGGAATTAAACATCTCTAGTAATGTTGAACACTGTTAGCCAGAAAAACCTATTTCTTTATCTTATATTTGCAATTGATAGTCAATTTTCAGTATTATTTTAAGAGCCAGGTGCGGTGATAACTGCAGTTGGGGGGGGCCTGAGGCAGGAGAATCACAAGTTGGAGGTTAAAGTGACACATGTAATCCTAGCTTAATTGGGAGACTGAGAAGAGAAGGATTGAGGACTGAGGCCAGTCTGGGCAGAACAGTTTGAGACTGTCTCCATAGAAAGGATTCTGGATAATGGTCCTCCTCTGTGATCCCAGAAACATAGAAAGCCTAAAAGTAGGCCACACAGGAGGTGATAAACAAGTTCTACCCTAAAAATAACCAGTGGAAATAGGATGGAAGGAATGGCCTTAGTACTGCCTTAAAAAAATTAACTAGTAGGAATGAGTTACAAAACACATACCAAATAATTTGTAATGACTTGATTACTTAACTATCTCTTCTTTTAGTTATAAAGCATACTCACTAGTTCCAGATTTAAATTACAAGACTAGTATAAAGTTTTTACCCAATAAACAGTGTCATCCTATTTAATTCATCTTTGCATTGTCATCATAAAACAGGGTAAGAGTCACTGCTGTATAGACCTGACATGATATGTGATAGCTTACTTTTTATAAACCATCCTCAACTTCTTTTTAAAAAGACAGTTGGTCTTTTTTTTTTGGGGGGTGGGTCCAGTTGTGGGGCCTGAACTCTGGGCCTGGGC